CCCCAATAATGTGTCAAAATAAGAATATATCTGAGAGTTTTTGAACTTTATGATAGGACAATTCACAATGTCTAATAAATTCAGGAGCTAGTGTGCTTGTCTGTATGTGAATGGATAGATAACCGCTTTGCCCCAGTCATTATGAGAGAAGTTCTCAACCGTCAACAAATAAAGAGCCCCCTCTCGTATTCTCCATTTCCCCTTCTGCAGAGCACAGTAGCATGCTCGTGTGCTAGACAAGAAAAAAAATCAAACTTTTTTGGTGAATAGATTGGGATTACAGCTTGATCTCCAGTCAGCAGACTTTGGGATGCTGCACTACCTTGACCATCATTTTCCATTGTGTAAAAGAGAAAACCATCTCCTAAATGTGAATTCACAACTGAACTTTTGACAGAGGTGAGCACATACCAACCATCTCAGAGGACAGGGGAGATGACTTACCCAGAGGAGCGGCTTTGAGGTGGTAGTGGGAAGAGGAGAAGCTGCAGAGGGTGCCCACAGGTGGGAACCAGAGACCTGCTGAGCTGCATTTCAGCTCATGGTACTCTTTGCCCTGTTAGCAGGTTGCTCCTCAGCACAGCAGGAGAGAGGCCATAGCTGCTTCCCACAGATCAGGGCCTTAACCATTTTGCCATCAGGGTTTAGAATTACAGTTCTTTCTTCAGTATGCTGGCTCCAGGCTGTTGTACCCAAAAGTGTCTGGAGACTATTTAACTTCTAGACATCCATTTCAGCTTTTCTTCTGACTAGTCTTTTGGCCCCAAATAGATCAGTGACTTTGGATTCTGCCACCCTTCAAGACCATAATGGATGCTTTGGTCTTTGTTCATTTATGAAGTGGTGGTACAAAAGCAGGCAGGAAGAATTGAATAAGAGGGCTAATATGTAAGTATGAGAAATAAGACAAAACTCAAATTAGGTTGTCATATCTAATATTGCCCTGTTATTGTTAAAAAATACAGAACTAATCAAGGGAAAAACTCAAAGCTAGCTTAAAGCTTCACTAGTGCAAAACAGGTTACCTGCACACCAGTTGCATGCAACCAAACTGGATACAGTGGATTGCTAATGGACAGCATAGAGCTATGAACTAGGCAGTAATAGCAGGAAGTATTGCTAACAAACAATTTAATACCTGCAAACTCTTTAAACAGATGAATTGTTTTTAATTCTCCTTTTTTGGCATACGAGAGATGAGTGCTTAGGAATAGAGGAAAAATGGCCCATAGGGAACAGGAGTAGGTTATTACTAGCAAAACTCACAGCAGTCACAAAAGTGAGATAAACCAATTACTGCTGTTTATTTTAAATTGGCCATGAATATCCTACTTTATTTAAAGAGAAAAATATAGAGGCCGCTGTTAACAAGAATTTCAAAGAACAGATTATAGTAGTACAAGGCAGTGCATATAGAGTCTCATCCTGGCTGAACTAACTATGTTCTGCAAGTACTCAAAATGGATAGGCCTTGATGTTTCAAGACTTACAGAACAGCCTTACAATTGAGCACTGTTTAGAGTGTCAGCAGTTTTGTTTTTTCTGGTTTAGTTACTACTGTCTTCGTGGCTGAAGTCAGCGAAGTGAAAGCTTAGGTGAAGGATTGTTTTTAAATTAAGTTTGTTTGTGCTTTGTTCATCTTGGAAGAGATACTGGCAGTTACACTGATAACAGCTGTAGATCAGGCTAGACAGTAGCATCTGTGAGCAGGCTTAAATGCAGTGCAGAACTGCTTGTTGCTGTTTGAATGTTATATTAACCCCATTAATTTGAAATGGGCTAATTTCTGCCTGTGTGAGGTTGCTAGGGGTGACAGACAGAATATACATACAGGATATGGGATTCTGTGATCCAGAAGCAGTGATGATAGGACATAATTAGGAGCACCGAAGTTAAAAGATAGTGTTTATTTGAAACTACTGGAACATATAAGCATAATTTTCTTTCAGAGTTCAAAAAAGCACCTTTAAGGATAGTCACTGACATGATAAACAGTTTGAAAAGTGCTGTAGGGTGGGTTCTTTGTTTTGTTGTTGCTTTTTTTTTTTTGGTTTTATTGCAAGTTCCCCATCTATTACATTCTGCATAACTGGAGGTTAAATGCAATGACTTCACTACCTACGATTTGAGAAGTTTTTCTTCTGCCCAGTCACAATACTGATTGCCATATTTAGTGGACTTCAGCCTTGCAATTTGCTTTTGTATTTATAAATTGGGCTTTCATCTGCACAGAGAGCTAAAGTTCAGCCTTGTTGCCAATGAATTTAGCTTCCAGCTGCATTTGATGGGAGGCATCACAACTGGTTCAGCTCGATCGAGGGATGAGTTTTGTCCATGTTACTGTAACTATTGAATAAAGCTAGTCTTGAAGCATACAGGCCTGCATAGTGAATACTGCTTATAGCTAGTCCAGCAGTGCAGTTTAGTACTGTTTATTTCATTAACAACTATGCTCTTTGAGACTATTTTGTGCAAACAATGTCTGCTACATTAATATTGTTTGTTGCTATGTGAAGCATTTTTTTTAAGGTCTGCTGAAAGGTTCATGAAGAGAACCTTAAGGATTGCATCAGTTTGAGCATATCACCATAGCAACATGCTGCATATACCTTACAGGCTCATAAAAGAATTTATATCATGGCACATGCTAAATAATACAGTAGCATCCTCTTATAATAAAGCAACCTACTAAACTATCACACAAAGTCATTAAATTTTTAAGTCATGAGTTTATAACTTGAGGAATTGTTTAATTTAGATTCAGTCTCATCTGTTCTTTTACTGATGGAGATTTTTGAGTTTAAGGGGGGAAGAAACAAAAGTAACTACAGCAACTTTTGCAATAGATTCATAAGTAAGTATTGTTTCATCAGCACAGCATGAAAGAATATGAATAAATGTATATTAAAGTAAAATAAATAATGTCATAAATTTGAAAAAAAAAATGTCTGTTAAGATGACTCTGTTCTGAAAGCCAGTTTTTCTCCTGAGTAAATATAAGAAACAAGGCCTTTCATTAGTTAGCATTTCTAATGTTCTACTATTTTTGCTGAAGCTAACCTCTTCCCCCGTACCCAAAGCTCCTTTCAATCCAATAAATAACCAAATACAAGTGCATTATGCTTTCTTACCTGCAGTCCATGAGCCATAATCTTACTTTGAACTACGCTATCGGAGAATGAGTTGGTATTATTACTGCAGCTTGTCTTGCTCTATTTTCATCTTGCAGTCAGATCATGACCTGCTTCTAAAAGGTCAAAATTGCCATCCTTCCTACAGGAAGTATTACTTCCTTCTGCTAATGCACTGACATCACAATCCCAGGTTCTTACTTAATCAGATTAACCAGAAATAAAAAAGGCATGAGCCCTGCTGCAACCAATCAGAGTAAAGATATGGGGAACGAGGGAGATGCAAAAAGGAAGCTTATGAATCAAATTAGTGGGAAGGACTATGTGGTGGGTTTTTAATTGAAAACACAAAGCAGATATTTGATTGTGGCAGGTGGTAATTCAGTGGTATATGTAGAAGTTAATTTTATATACCAGTTTCTTACACAGTATTTGCATGTCCATTTTTGTGATAAAGTCCTTATCTTTTTAAAATTGTGCTAACTTGTCAAAAAAACAGTATTTGAATAAACAAAGCCATATTTTTAAAGATGTCTTGAAGCAGAGGTCTGCAGCGGTTGGGACATGGTGAACCCTGTCTGACATTCTTCCAGGTCATTCTTTGATAAAATGAGGGGTGTGATAGCTCCAGTAACATGCTTCACATCATTTAGAATCAAATCGTGCTGACATTCACTGTAATCTGATTATTTTAGTGTACCGAACTGCACTATTATCTGGGATTAACATGAAAGTCTTAGATTTCTAAAAATTAATCCTACCAACAAAGTGAACTAAAAGCAGTTTGCATACAACATGTTACAGAATGTTCTTACCAGATTGGGTACATTTTATTAATTCAACTAGTTAGTGTTTTCTTGGGGAGAGAGGACATTAATGAAATAAGATTTTTCTTGGTTTTTGTGGTCTTATAGATGCTCTTCAGATCGTGGCTGAGAACACTCAGGATAATGCAGAAATGCTCTTCCAAGTGAATTAATAGACATATCCACAACTTTCAGTGATGTGCTAAATAGTAGTACTATTTGGGAAGTATTAATACCTTGAGGCTACTTGTCCCCTATTTTATGCAGTTAGCAATACCTTCCTGTGAATTCCCTATCCTACTCTCTACAGATGTGAGCTCCCTATCTTGTGAAAAGCATTGCTTTCTAGTTCCTAGTGTGAAGCACTCCTTTCTAGCTAGTAGTAACTTGTGTTCAAAAACCTTGAGAATTTTCTCAACAAGATCCTCCTTTGAGAGGAAACATTTACAAAAACCATACATCTAAACCCTGGCAGCTATTGCTTTAGCAGAGATACTCTCCCTTCCTTATCCTCAGGTGCCAAAATGAAGGTGAAGAGCAGCAATACTGAGGAATGTATGCAAACATACATTGACTTTGTAAGTGTTTGTGGATAAAAGCAGAGAAGGAAAAGGAAGGGGAGTTCCAGACTAGTTTGTATGTTTCCCCTCTCCTGAGCTTTTCAACCCAGTGTAATTTAGCTGTCCTGAAAGGATGTTGGTGTTTTAGAGAGCCCTGAGAGGATGATGCCATGATAGAATATTAAGTGCTGCAATATTGCTCATACCAATTGCCCATGTGTCACACCTACAGTTTTATATGACTTAATTGTAGGATTTAATTTTTTTTTTTCTAATTATTTTCAGGGAAAAAAGACACATATAGGTTTCAAATTTGTTTGTTAATTCTTATGTAGTTTTCCACATTTAAACAGAATTCAGTGTAGTTTTGCTATGGATGAGACTACTTGTTTTAAACCTCTTTCTAGTGAAGGGGCTACTTATTGGCACTATCACAGTTTACAATTTCCATCAGTCTAACTGAGCACAATTACTGAAATTACAGTGAAGAAATCATTATTATGTGCATATCTGATATGATCTGTAGCACCCAGTTTAGCTCTCCCCCTTTGTCAAATGCTCTGTTCTTCACTGTATTATGTAATTTTTTTGTGTGCTTAATCTTGCTATGGGGAAACCTTGACTGCAGATCACACATACTAGGCAACCTTCTCTCTGAACAGGCCGTCTTAAAATATTCTCAAGTGTAATATGTATGCTTTGGTTCTGTCTGTTAAAAGACCACCTCTGTTACATAACTTACTTTAATAAATCTTTACCTGAGGCAATTTGATTCCACATTACTCACATTTTTATAAATTAAACACTGGACCTTGCAAATCATTGTGTCTCCTTTAGGCACCATACTGTTTGATTTGAACTGGGCCCAGTTCTAAAGTCCTGTTTAATTCTGTTTCAGAAAAGGATTACAGAAAATCCCTCCCACTGACTTTATTTTGAGTTTTTGCTGCGTTGGGAGTAATGTCTAAGCTAGAAATGAGCAGGGACTTTATGACTAGAGTCCATGTTTAGAAAGAGCAGAAGAATTTCATTCATAAGGGGTGCATGCATATGTGTGCATGTATTATATATAGTTATATTATTATCAAATTTTCTTAACAAATACTGATTTCTCTTTAGAGAAACTGACAACAGAAGTCACTGTTGTGCCATTGCTTTGTGATATGGGCATCTGTTCAGGTGCAATGAGATTCCTCTAGTTGAACCCGGAAAATAGGTGTATTCTCCTAAAATCGCCATAGATGGAAAATGTCAGACAGGCTACCATGTAGCCTTCAAAATTTTATGAAAGCATTCATGAGAAATAGTCAGGCCAACAGCACATGTAGGGAAAAAAAGTAGATTTTGGAACTCTGGGAGTCTTGAAATAGAAAATTTAATGTTGGGAATAACATACTCTCATTAAAGTTGGTTCAAGAAGCCTTTGTTTACCTGAAACTCGGAAAACTACTTCCCAGATCATATTTATTTGAATGAATTTAGGATTCTCAGTAAATTGCATAGAACCGTAATAGTAACCACATACCACTATCACCTGGCAAGTACTTGAAAATCCAGTAAATGTGTTAGTGGTCTCAATTAGTGGTCTGAAATTTGCATTATGAAAGTTACTGCTATAATGAATGTTTTTATTGTAACATTCTGAAGAAAGAAAAATTCACAGGTGAAAGTTTATGCTAAGACAGCCTTTTGCCGTTGCTGAATAATGAAAATAGAATGTAGCCAGTTGGCATCCGTAGATGGTTTCTCAGTTGTAAATTATGTGATTATACTCCCATAGGAAAGAACAGAAAAGTTTAAGCGTGTATGATGTGTTCCATAAAGGAGCCCCACGTGCATCTTTTTTAAGCTGAATGTTTTGAGGAGACCAGTGCACCGGGCAAGTCGGGTTTCAACCTAGTGCTCTCTAAATCACAGGACACTGAAAGAGCCAGTAAGTGTTGCCCATACACATTGAACAATTAATTAGATCCACCCTGATAGCTTGGTAAAACAGCTGCCAGTCAATACAGAACACTGCTCTTTGTCCTTGCATCTGTTCCCTGAACTACTGAACCAACAGTTAGTTTTTTTCAGGACATGGTTTTGCTGTTCACAAACTTGTTTACATACCTAAGTTTGTTAAACACTTTTACATTGTATCACAGGTTGAAGTAACTTGTCTTGAGATGGCTCCAATAATTTTAAAGGTCCTCAAGAAACACTGTATAGGTTAAGTCCTGTCAGGCATTTAGTTTTAATTATTTTAAATCAGAAAGCAAATAACATGATACTGGATGTATTCTACAACTGTTCCATACGAAAACCTCACAAATAAAACATCAGAGAAAGTGTCCACTAGAGGGAAGCCTCTACCACGGAAGAAAATACTTGCCAGGGGAAGAAAAACCTACATTTTATGAAGTAAACTGTCAAGACTAAGAAACTCTGTGTTTAGTTAATAAGTGTAGAGGTGTCTCAACGAAATGCAAATACAAACAGGTAATTTAAAACAGGGATCTTAAATATTTAGACCAGTTCTGAAGTTGTATATTTGTGGATTACAGGAAAACTCCTCTGATTTGCACTGCTGAAGACTTGACGCATGTGCTCCAATGTTCCAAGTGGCTGAAAAAGCCTTAAATTAAAACTGAGCACTTCTATTCAGTGACTGGTGTGTTATTAGGAAACCTGATTAATACACGTTGAAATGACTCGACTTGAGTAATTTGGGGCCCATCTGAAATCTGTTTTTTGTTTGGCACTTTTAAGTCTTAGGTGAGACCAGCTGCTTAACTGTTTGCTAAAAGCTCTTTGGAAAAAACACATTGCACATCCCATGGTAAACAGCGCATGTTTGCAATTAGAAATTAGAAACTTCATACTTTCCTTGGCTATTTTCTGTCTGCTCTGAATATATGATTTTTATTATTTTACTGAAACAGAAAAGTGATCTTGCCTGACAATATGAAGTTGGTTCTAAATTTGTGTCTTGACCAATATTGGACATATATAAATGTGTGCTTGAAAAGGTCTTCTGCTTTTACAGCTCCTCTAACACCTGCAACAAACACAGACTGATTGACAGAACTTGAAGGAATCACTCCTGTCAAAAGTGACTCAGATTTAAGTTTGAAAAGATTTAATTCTTGAAAATACCCTGACACCAGTTCTTAAATAGATGAATGACAAATTCTGCAGAATCAGGACATTCTGATTGCTGACATAGAGGAAATGTACAATATTTATTAACAATCTTTCTGGCCATAACATAAATGGTGGAGTGACTGCGTGAAGGAAACCTTAATATACCTTTTGCTACATTTATTTTGCAGATAGGAAAAATGTTTCAGTCTCCTGGACTGTCTATATTAGAAAGTAATTTTGAGAGAGGATCTGATTAGGACTGGGGCAATAGAGCATAGAGACAAGGAATCAGGACTTCTGGATTTTATTCACAGCTCTGACACACAGCTTATTTGCTGTACGACCCTGGCCAATTTGTTTTCTTGACTGCTCCTGTTGTACCTCTGACCTTTCTATGTGCCTGCTCTTCCCCCATTGCCTCCTGTAATCAGCTGACCTTAGTTTTCTGAGACTTCTCTTCTGTGGGCTACACAGGTCGTTGTTATTTTTGGGAAGGTGCCATTTAAAAAATACTGTTGCTATCATTAGCCAGTGGTCAAATGAATGATTTGAAAAAAGATTGTGATCTATATACTTCAATGTTAAAATGCAGTTGTTATAGTTTAATATGTCAGTGAGCAAACATGAGTTGCTCCATAACTGCCATAGTGTCCAGTGTGCCTGATCAAGTTCTCCCCCACCCCCCAACAG